GGAGCGGCGCGAGCAGAGGCAGAATGGATCGTATTTGATGTCGAGGGATACCCGTGGAAGGCGGTATATGGACGTGTGGGAACGCGGGATACGCAGCGTGAATATGGGCGGGGGGGTATTCGACCGCCGATTCCGGTATGGACTGGAAGGCAAAGCTGATCTGCGGGGGAGCGTGGCAAAGGGTCTGGCCAGGATCAGACGATGAGGGCTAGTTGAGTCCCGGGGTTTCGACACTTGGACTTTAGGTAGACTTTGACAACTTACTGCCCGGACACTAAATAATTACAATAACAATGGAAAGGACTGTAACGAAAATAATCACCTGCATCTATTCACCGAGTTGAAAAAATCAAGAGGCTGCGGTGTTCAGACTTGAAACTCGCCTTTTTTTCCCGTGACCCTGCGCGCTCTATTTGCCTCTCGAGGTCCGTGCGCGCACTGAGAGCTATATAGTTGCGAGGCCATGGCTCCGGGCAGGAAACTTGGCGACAGGTGACTTGGAGTAAATCAATATTTGTTTAGTTGTGATTCAATCTGAGGGGGAGGCCGGGAGCAGGTAGGTAGGTAGGTAGGTAGATTTACACGGCACGGCCCCGCTTAGGAATGCCAGTTTTCAGGAAGTATCCCAGTGTACACGTACTAAGTATTACACCATCCCTGGACCTCTCTGCACTCTCGTAGCCGAGCTCACGGTCGCAGCAATCAGTTGAAACGTCAAAACTCGCCGCGGTGGAGACGTGCGATCTGGCAAGGCACCAGACCGCCGTCCGGACAGAGCCCGCGATGTGGTCAAGAGCAAGCAATGATGATGTCTGCCTTCGCAACAACTGTCTACACTACACTACACTACAGCACTGCCACAGCCAGGATGCACTAGTGCAGCGGTAGAACTGAAAAAATGCAAAAATGCAAAAGAAAATTAGCACATAAATCTGGGAAAGCCTCAAGTGACCAATCGAAATACAGAAACGGCGTAGAAAACCTCAAAGACTTCAAACGTGTACTTGGTAACCAATGCTATGGTCGATCTCGGATGAATGATAGCTTTTAGAAACTCTTGGGAGTTCAGCCATCTGGCGTCGCAAGTCTGGGAGAGTTGTGAAGAGTTCTGCAAGAAATACTGCACGTAATTCAACAGGTGAGTTCGAAGACTCGCAGGTGATTAGTGCGTGTTCAGGTGTCTCGACTTCTTTCCTACAGAACCTACACAGCCATTCCGAGCGGGCACTGGTTGGTACGCGTGATCGACGTAGCGCAAGATTTCCACGGCCAACAAATGGGTCGACAGCAGCATGGAGGTAATAGCCTCACAATGTGTTAAATAGTGCCGCATGCAGGAAATAACTTGAGCTGGTGCTTTGTCTTTTTGGGGTTCTCGCCTCCTGTTTAGAAGGTACAGCTTGTCGGAAGAGTCTATTTTACGTGGTAGCCATTCCAGTATGAGCTTGTGCACTAATTTGGCGTAGTCTTCGACATCTTTGATGAAAGTAGAACTCGATAGAATCAAAGTAGGACAGTGGAATGGCAGTCTCGTGGCAGCATGGATCAGATCTTTGGCCCATGGTCTCTTGCCCCTGGCGGCTAACTCGATCGAACTATCGAGCGCGGCCGGGGCCTAAGCATCATTGTTGTGACCAAGGAAATATACCAAGTGACTGAGCACGAGCAGCAGGCGACGGACTCGAAGGGGCTTAATCCCAGTTTCCGTGAACAGCGGGTAATTATGGAGCAGCGGTACAAACCAAAGACTTGACGAATGAAGCTCACTTGAACTTTACATAAATGGTTGACGTGCACGTCTTCACTATCCGGCGAGACTTCGCATGGATTAGGTGACAGTCGACGCTTGCCATGTATAGCTGTTTAAGTTCCTTGGTGTGAGCCTTCCCGTCATATCTTTAATTGCCATGATCCGATGACCACAATAGCGAGTAGTGCGTGCCTTAGATTATAGTCTTCCGACTTTGGGGTGTCTGTTCTAATGGTGATGCCAACATATTTCTCGTTGACAGCGATCTGCGTGGTACCGAGGAAGGACGGTGGGAGGAGAGAATTGAACGGTCCGAAGATCAAGATGATAGGTTTGATCAAATTGATGAGGATGAAGTTCAGGCGCACCAGTGTTCCAAGGTTAATAAGTGTACACGTAGATCCTTGGCAGAGAGGGAGACGATGAGGAGGTCATAGGGCTGAGCCAGTAGCGAAATCGGCACCCCGGGGAGAAAGCCATCCTCGAAGTCGGGCATCAAAGTAACGTCGGAGATAGAGCCGTGAACTCGTGAGATACCGTATCTCCATGCCGAACATAATAGGCCATTCGGTCGTATAACGTGCGCAGCCAGTGCGCAGCAGTCAAAGATGCTCCCACCCACGAGTTTTAAATCAAAGCGTAGGTTGGTCAGGGAGAATTTTACATGAGGCTGCTGACAGAGGAGGGAGGTCGAGTATTTGAGCGCGCGCGAGCTTGCCGAAATTTCTGCGGCGGTAATTTTTGTAACGCTGACTCATCAAAAGCGGGCGGACCGAAACTTGCCGAACGGTGGCAGTGCAACGGACAGCGGAGGCGCACGACGGCGGCGGCGGGGGGCAAGACAATGTCGAGGGTAAAAAGATGCTATAGATTGAAGATGTGTACATTAACATCACATAGAGGGTCTAATGGGGTCAAACGACCCAAAACTGAGCTGGATGCTCGACGATCAACGTGGATGTAGCTTTTTGGGATTTTTCTCTTTTTTGTTTCGACACCAGGCATGCATCTGGATGGGAAGGGCTCGTATAGCGGGCTCTCAGGACTGCTGCTGTACATTTGGTAGGGCAGAGTAGCTGAGAGGCCTAGGGCTACCGGCGGACTTCGACATATGAGATGATGGTGGTACGAAGTGAATGCTCTTAATATTTACATAATTGCAGTTCAATCTCACATACAGTAAGATACAGTAAGAGATAAGTACGGTACATCTCTGGCGCTACAAAGAACGAGGGCTTGGGAACGAGAGCTGTGAGGGTTGAAATGGATCCGTGGACAGATGAAGACGTAAAAATACAGCGTGAGAGAAAACACGCACAGATACAGCAATCGGGGATGCTCCCGCTCGCGGGCGGCTAAGACTGCTTGCGCTTCGCCGGCGCCGTCCCCTTCCCAGGCGCGGCCGGGGCCGCGCGCGGCGATGGCGAGGGTCTTGAGATTGCGGAGGGTGTTTGTGCTGTGGGGAGAGTCAGTTTCACATGGAAAGAGGAGGGAGAGAAGGAGAAGGGGAGGAAGGAAGCCGGCACAAATCGCAAACAAGGAAGAGAGAACGCAAGTGAAGGCACAAGACCCGGCACTCACTTGAACGCATTCGCCGCCCCCTGCCACTCCCGGCCCACCTCGACCCTAATCTTCACACTCTTGTATATATCTTCCGCGCCGCCCTGGTAGTCGACCCCCAGCTGCAGGATATCCCCGTCCTTAATCTGGTGCGCGCGGCTCTCCGTGTTCGCGGGGCTCAGCCTTACGTGGTTCAGGAACGTGCCGGAGTTGCTCTTGGTGTCGCGGATGTAGAATTTGACTCCGGCCCCGTTGTTATTTCCACTTGGGTTGGAGGCGGACTCGACCCAGACTCGCGCGAGACGACTTTGCTCTTGAACGCGATCTTGTTCGTGCTCAGTGCGTTCACCGCCGCGAGCCCCAGCCCCGAGCGGTCCGTGAAGCGGCCTATCCGGAGCGGGGGGGCGTCCACGCGCAGGTCGCGCGAGATGGGGTCGAAGCGCAGGGAGCGCCGCGAGTCAAGGTGCGGAACCAGGCGGATGCGGTGCGTCGGGCCGATGCTCACGCCCGCGGTGGGGGGAAAGAGCGCGGTGGCAGAGGGAAGGGGGGTGGGGGTGGGCGGCGCGGGCGCGGCGAGCGGGGCGGCGACGTTGCCGGCGCTGCGGCGGCGGCGGAGCATGTGTGACAGCGTGAGGCCGGGCTGGGAGGACGAGGTGGCGGTGATGACGGCGGAGGGCGGGTGCGGGCGGCGGCGGTGGCTGCCTGCGCCCGTCGGGATCGGCGACGGCGGCTGCGCGATCGGCGGCGACGGTGACAGCTCGCGGGCGGCGGTGACGTCGATGTGGGACTGCGAGGAGTTGCGGGGGCGGCCGCGGCCGAGAAATGAGCCGAGGATGGTCGTGCGCGGTGGGGGGGCGACTCGGTCAACCCCAGGTCCATCTAAGAGTGGAGAGGGAGAGAGGTGCGTCACGTTGTGTCACACTGGCCACCTGAGCGTTGCTTTTGTCCTTTTCAGTCAATTCTAGCGCTCGTGGCTACACAGCTACTGCTCCTCTCCTCCTCCAGCACCCTGCCTCGACCTGAGCTGATCCCCAAAACCACTGGCTCTCGCACCCCATCGATGCGATATGAATCAAGTATCACCTCGCTCTGATGATGCACTGCTCTTCGATGTTGATCTCATGCCAAGAAGCTGCAAGAAGATGCGCGGCGGGATCTTGCAATTGATGCACGCCTACTCTGCCAGCGACTCCGAGTCACTGAAGAAGAAAAAATCTCGCTCCCGCCGTGCTCGTCGAGACGCTCGCTGTCAAATTGCAAATTCCTCGCACGCGAAAATATCACTTCCTCTCAGTCAACGTTTCCGCTGGCGCCATGATCCACGTATTTTTACCCGCCGCCTGCCATATCACCGCTCCGACATCCGGGTCCGGATTCCGGGGTCCATAATGAACATAATGAAAACACGCCATTCCATTCCATCCGTCCTCCTTCCCTATGACGACAAAAAATTCCTTCATATGAGCCCCAGCTATGATCATGAATGATATGTATCGCACCTCCCTTGGTGATAACATAAATTGGAGCGGCTATGATCCTATCATATATTAATCTCATCATTCTTACTTCCCCCATCGTTCTGCACCGCGCTAACGCTGATCATCCCCAGCTGCACACGAATCCTCACCGAACGACCCAACGAACACTTGACGAATTTTGAAGAAGAAAAAAATTCTGATCAGGCCGCCCACGCGGGCGCCGGGAGTCGAACCCGGATCTGCTGCTCCAGCTTGCTCAACTGTGCAACGAAAGCAGCCGTATTCCATACACCACAGCCGCTCTTTCCTTACCTTCGACTCCTCCCCAGGTCCCAGTCATCAGCGCAGATCATAAATTTATATCACCGCCGACGTCCAACCCCTGCCCCAAGATAAAAAAAATGGTACACGCCCATCATCACTCTTGCTTTCCTCCCCTCCCTATGACGAGACAGAAAGAATTCAGCCCGGCTATGATCCTATTATATGGTTGTAATCTGACTCCTCCCTCTTTCTCCCTATACATCCTTCCGCACCCCGCTAACTCGTCTATCCGTAGACTGCACGACCCCTCCGAACGACGCAACAAATGCTGGTCCGAATTTTTTTTAAAAAAAAAAAAAAGTCATCCAGCGGTCTACGCGGGCGCCGGGAGTCAAACCCATTCTGCTGCATCGACGTTCAATCACACGCAAAAATGAAGGCAACTGTGTTCCGCACACCGCACGCGCTCCCTCCCTCCTTTTAACCCTCCTCCAGATCAGGAGCTTCAGCTTGTATCCGTGACATCCTTGCCACAGCCCGCTCAAAACAATGTTACATATACACGTATTCCTTATCCCGCATACATCCAACTCGTCGAATTGACTATTTACTTCACCCCGGGTCGACTCGGATGTGATTGGGACTCTGGGAAAAGGTGAATCCCGCCCACGAAAAGAAGAACACGGAAAAAAATATAGGGACCCCGCATGTGGACGCCGGGAGTCGAACCCGGATCTGCTGCTTCAAAGATGGTACGAACACGATAATGAAGGCAGCTGTGTTCCATACACCACACCCGCTTCCTCCTCACTGTTATCGCAGGCATTTTGAATTTGACCCCCTCTTACGGGTCTTAGCGAAGGCATTCATTCTGATTGCATACATGGATGCCACATAAATTCAGCTCGTTGGCTTGACCCCCCCGAATCAACTCGGATGTGGCTGGTACGTACAATTAATAAGAGGAGGTGAATGCTGCCTCCAAAAATTCAGCCAGAACAGAAAGCCAGGTCTGATAAAGTATGTGGGCGTCGAGAGTCGAACCCGGGTCTGCTGCCTTAGTGGAGTGCTTCCAAGGAAAAGTGGGCAGCCGTGTTCCATACGCCACATCCCCTTCCTCCTTCCCCTCAGGCTTTGCCCCTCATCTTATTGATGACATTCTGACCTGGTAAATATCCCTCATGCTAATACATAACTCAACTCGTCCAACGAATTTGATTAGGACTCGACGTGCCGGGTCCAGGAGAGAATGTTCGATTTATGTGGTTAGGTTCGATTCAACCAGGTGAATGCCGCCTGCAAGCCAACAAAAAAGAACAGAAAAATGGGGGGAAAAGATCAGCTTGATGTCGTTGAGATGCGGGCGCCGGGAATCGAACCCGTTCTGGCACGGCATGCGAACCTTAACTGTCCTAGTGGTCTATGCCTCCGCTGGCTCCGTAGCGGAAAATAAGGCATTCTGGGACACCATAACGGATATTTGGCTTAAAGAAGATCTCCCCGTCTCAGATTCTGTCCTCGACGACCTAAATGTGGTAGAGGAAAGTATTGCTTGCCTTCCCCACCGGCTGGACGAAGACGGCGCGACCGAGGCGCTTGCCCGCTTCAAGAGACTCCTCGAGCTCAAGGATGTCTGAAGGGCTTCAAACCCAGACCTCAAAGCCTATACCTACACCCACCCCACTCCCGGATCGACTGTATTCTCGTCTCTCCATCTCTGTTCAAAAGCTGCCAGAACTGGGATGTGGCAATAAAAACAGACCATCGTATGGCCTCAGTCGATATTTGTGCGCCAGGTGCCCCTACATTG